TTAATAAGTGTTGTAGAGGATACAGCAGGCTAAGTACAGTTGTTTACAGGTCAATTCATTGAAAATATTTTCACTTCCCCCACTCCCAATTAAATGAGTGAAATGAGAGAATGGATCAATGAATCATTTTAGTAGCTGGGCTCTGGGTAATCGAGGTCACTGACCTTGGTGGGCTGATAAATGAATTTGATCCCAGAGACGACTGGCAAGATCGGGTTTCTGGCTGCCTTGTTTTAATCATTTATGTGTGTCCTATTATTCATACAGAGATGTACAGTGCTAGCAGCTCCAGCTCAGGTTCATCAATATTACACAACAGACGTGGGTGTTTCCAGGACAGCTAAGTCAGAATATAACTTCCCTAGGAAATGGGAAACCCAAGGTAATTGTCTTCTAAATATGCAACAGGCACAGAAGTGCATATTAGGATTACTTTAGCTGAAAATTTCACCTGGTTCTCATTTGTGTCTTTCCATACTTTGCAACAAGATGATTATTCTCCTCCAATTCCTCCTCTTTTCCCCTCCTCCTTTTTTTTAAATTTCAAAAATTAAATATTTTAAAAGAATGGATAGTCATTTTCTTCATGCAGAGTTAAGCTAAATGCCTATGCTTCACACACACTCTTGCTTACTATGGACTGAATAAGTCTGGATTTGAAAAAGGCTCATATTTTAGTCAGATTCATTTTCTTCCACCAAATGAGATATGAAGTTTTGTCTCCACATGCAAACTGTTGTATAAACAGAAACTGAGTAAATTCTAACAATAAAACATCTGGTTGTTTTGCAAATAGCAATTTGAATGAATGAAATAAAATAGTCAATGGATTTTTTTTACCTGAATTGAACCATTTAAAAAATGGGTCTAGAGATATCCTAATGTTCAATTTCCAATAGAGCAGGAATTTTTCAGCACCCATAAATAGTGGGTGCGTTCAAACCCAAAGAAAACAGTATTGAGTCTTCTTTTTGTAATGTTAAATTCTGGTAGGTAATTCCCCTCTACCTAGATAATCCTTCAGTTTCCAGATTCCCTAACTAATCTTGAGGACGTGACATTTCAAGGATGGGAAATATTATTCTGACTGTTTAAATAATATGAGAATAAGCATATACTAACATGGAAACCTTTGGCATCATTTCCCCTTCTTTTTCTACATACACACAGGACTAACATAAATATTTAGAGCTGGTCCTTAAAAGAATTATGTCTTGAGAAGTGATCTAAAAAGAAAGAAAAGATGAGAGAAGGGTTTCCAAAACATCCATTCAGCTTGAGAGGAATACGGCCGTACAGCCAACGCAGAGCCATTTATTTGAACTTCCAAAATAGCGTTGAGCCTGAAAGCTTGAGATGTAAAGGTACCACCTTGGATCATTGTGGTCCAATACTCTTTTTTTATTTTTATTTTTTTATTGAGCTTAACTGTAACAGTTAATAGTATTTTACTTTTATCTAAGATTTTATAGTTCATATATGTTCATAGAACAACATGAATGTATTTAGTATCGAATGTGTCATTTTCTTAATTTACACAGCAATTGCATGAAATGGATTCTACTGTCCTAATTTTATAAGCAAAGACAGTGAGCCCAGAGAGAGGAAGTCACTTGCTTTTTAGCCACTCTGCACTCACGCATCTCTTAGTCCTTCTGACAAAGCTGTAAGATAGATTCTATCAGGCTTGCTGAAGGGAAGAGCAATTGATGATCAGGGAGATTAGTAAATTTGCTCAAGGTCATTTGGCTAGTAAATAGTAAAAGGGGGCACCAAGCCAGGTTTCTAAATTATTTCCAGTTGCTTCCGGTGACATCTTTGTGACTAGAAAACATGGGAGAAGCTGATGAAAATTCAGTTGGCTGGTGATCATTTTTGTGTGAATCTACAAAGTCTTTGAATGTAGTTGCAAGACCTATATAATATGTGGATGCAATAAATGTAATTTAATTTTAACTTTATGTAAGTGCCTTTAGGGCAGCGGTTCTCAACCTGTGGGTCGCGACCCCTTTGGGGGTCGAACGACCCTTACACAGGGGTCGCCTACGACCATCGGAAAACACATATATAGTTACATATTGTTTTTGTGATTGATCACTATGCTTTAATTATGTTCAATTTGTAACAATGAAAATACATTTCATGTATTTTTCATTGTTACAAATTGAACATAATTCATAAATATTTCATCTGCATATCAGATATTTACATTAAGATTCATAACAGTAGCGAAATTACAGTTATGAAGTAGCAACGAAAATAATTTTATGGTTGGGGGTCACCACAACATGAGGACCACTGCTTTAGGGTGTCACTTATTCTACCCTGTCCTTTGCTACTGTTGTTCTTGCTGAAGGGCCTAGCACTATGCCTGGCACACAGCATGTGCTCAATATGTTGTGAATGCTTCATGAAAGCACATCCCTGTATGCAAACCATGGGGACAGCTTCTCCTGACAGTGCAGGAGTGGAGATTCAGATTGCCCTTGGGTGAGTGAGGAAATAAAGTATCAGGGGCCATCTGTTTGGTTCACCTGCCGAGCTGCCTTTGCTTGTGAAACGGAAAGTCTGCGGCATGAAGTGAGATGTCTGCTCAGTCTGCCCCCAAACAGCAGGCCTGACGAGAGGCAGAGTCGCAGCTGCTTAAATTTCTTTCTTTCCAAAACCCAGAAAATTAGAATCGAAGACCCTATAAAACTCACGGCTTCACTTCATACAATAACAAAGTACACTTGATTGATGGACGAAAATCTGGGTTGAACCCCAGCAGGTCACTTCACCACATTTTTTTCTCATCAGTAAGATGAAAAGTTCAAATTATGGGGCCTGCACATTCCCTCCAGCCCTAAAACCCTTCAGTGTAGTATTGCCTGAGGCAATCACATACTTGAACAATATATACAGGCTCACCTCAGCCATGCCTTTGCAAATGGGATGCTTCAAACAGTACGATCCACACTTTCTTCCTCTGTTGTGGTAGAATAATCATAAAACAATAGTGAGAAATGTTTCCTGATGATATATTGGTTAACTAGCTACTTAGTATTTATTCTAATTACTGAACAAACAAAAATTTTGATGACTCTTGTGATCTTGGTGGGCTCAAGTGAATTGGATCCCAGCAATGACTGGCAAGATCAAGTCTCTGGTTGCTTAGCTTTAATCATTTATGGGTACCTGTAAGCTGAGTGTGTGAGTGTGTGTGTGTGTGTGTGTGTGTGTGTGTGTGTGTGTGTGTTAAAGTCATTTAAGATGAACATGGATGAGGTGCAGAAACAAAGTTGTTTAACTGAATAGGAATTTGTTTTGTTTACCCAAAACTAAATTGACTGTCATCAGGGTATTATTTGGAAACTATTATTCAGATATAGAAATAGCAGGTCTGGCTTTTAAATTTGTCAGTGGAAATATAATTTGGTGATGGATTCTTTTTGTCAACTGGTTTGTGTCTTGTTGTTAAATTTTTTTTCAATTGATTTTCTTTTGAGTTTTTTTTGGTTTTGTTTTGTTTTTTAGATTTGGGAGCTATCTTTTACTACATGTAGTTGTTGATTATGCACTGAATATGCTTATTTTATTTTCTGAGCAAATAAGAAGTAAATGTCACAAAGTGTTCATCTTCAAAAATACAACATTGATCTTAACAAACATAAAAATTAGAGCAGAATAATTGAGGCAATGCATAGATTATCTATGGATAAAAACTACCTGGAAACTCTACTTTAAGACTGGCATTTAGTAACAGGAGTATCAATTTATCTTATGAGGCTTTTTGACCAAAACCCACAATAAGAAACACATATTTCTCATTGTGATCCAGTATATGTGGTGTATCTGAAGAAAGGTTTCACTAAATAATAGGTTTTCTTACTGTGTGTGATGTGCTCTGATGTTTTTATAAAAATATGTATTTTTATTAATTTCAGAGGGGAAGGTAGAGGAAGAGAAAGATAGAAATATCAATGATGAGAATCATTGATTGGCTGCCTCTTGCATGTCCCCACATAACGGGCATGTGCCCTGACTGGGAATCGAACCATGACCTCCTGGTTCATAGGTTGACATTCAACCACTGAGCTACACTGGCCAGGCTGCTCTGATGTTTTTTTAAAAAAATCTCTATTTTAATTTTTTAAAATGATGGCTGTAATTCAGTAAGTTGATCTGTGACCCACTAATGGTCAGTGACCTGCAGTTTGAAAAATACTGTTTGAAGGCAAAAATATACTATCAAGCTCATATATACTATATGCTATATACTATATACTATATACTATATACTATATACTATATACTATATACTATATACTATATACTATATGCTATATGCTATATACTATATGCTATATGCTATATACTATAATATATATGATTGACCTCAGAATAGGTACATCCAAGTATCAGTGAACCATATTATAATGAAGCAACTCTACTGTGGATATTTGCTTTTTAAAATCACCAGCAATATTGATCCTTTTTCATAGTCAATAAAGGCTTAGGCCAGGAGCCATTAGTGTCCCTTGCAAAGACTATTCTTTGATGTCAATGGCTTCCTCTGGACCCAGAGTTTTTGTGAGAGTGGGTTTACCTGATCTGACTTGGAGATACAGGAGACCCTTTTTTCCATGCCCCTCTCCCAGCGTGGGCTTTGGGCACTGAAATGAAGACAGGGAGAAGGGTGGGACTGTGGACAAAAGCTCCACTGAGATGGACTGGTTGGCCTGAGACACTGCTGACCTGGGAGGAAGAAGTATTGTAAGGTTCCATTCCTGTTCACCCACTGACACTCCCTGGGAAACTCACTGAGATAGTCTCTCTCGTTGTTTCTTGTTTGCACAGCACAGACTCAGCTTTTTCAGAGATTAAGATGCTCATCAATATCCAGGCTTTTCTCTTCTTTCTGGGCATATAGTTAGACCACTTTCCATGGCAATTAGATGTGGTTATGTGACTGAGTTTTATCCAAGAATGTAAGTGGAAGGGATGTGTGTCCCTTCCAGGCTTGGCCCATATAAACCTTCCACCACAACCTGGCCCTCTTCCCACAAATGCTGCTTGGAAAGGCGAGAACACTGATGGTCAACTGTCAGTCCACACTGTGCTGTGACATGAGCATGGAATTCTTCTTTATTATGGTAAGTCTTTGAAATTTTAGTTGTTAAAGTACTTTTCCTACCCCCAAATGTTGGTTTCCTTCAACAGTCTCCTAAGTGTGTATTTGAATCCCATTTTGCCTTCCTTCAATCCATTCTTCATAATGTGGCTTCAGTGGTCTTCTCCTATGAACTAACCATGTCAACTCTGCCACCTCCTTCTTGTCTTCATCAAGCCTAAAATTCAGATTTCTTCTAGGATAAAGCTAAAACTACTTAATACAAATCTCAATGGTTTGGGCCTGCCTATCTCTCTACCTTCATCTCTCATCATGTTTACCATGTCTCACCATCTTTCACCTTACTCTCCCCACTTTGATTATATAAGCCTTCTCAAGTAGTTCCCATTTTGTCCTCTTTCTGGCCACAGGGCTTTTTGCATATCTTATTTCTTCTGCCTAGAATACAGGCCAATAAAATATTTTTCTTTAAATGATAAAGTGGTAAATATTTTAGACTTTGCAAACCATATGGCATATGTCCCAACCAACTACTTGAATTTGCCATCTTAGTGCCAAGGCAGCCTTAAACAATATGTAAATAATTGGGTGTGGCTGTGAACCAATTACATTTTATTTATAAAAGCATGTGATGAGCTGGATTTGAACCATTGGTCATACTTTGCTGACCCCTGGTGCAGAATGTTCTTTCTATACTTTCCCCCCCTAATAAACAGTCCTATAAATCCTTTATCTCTTCCCCAAGGCAGCCTTCACTGATATCTCCGACTAGATCAAATCCTTCTAGTGTATGTTCTCATAATACTTGTTATGGTGGAAATTTTACATTGCCCATATTAGTCATCAGAAGAAGCTAGTAAGCCTCTTGTTTATTTGTTGTTATTCACTGTTAACTGAGCAATAAGTGGGCACCTCTGATTTGTTGTCCATTACATAGGACGCAGTGAAAAAGGTGATTGTCCTAGCCTCTGTGATTTAAAATAATGTATTCATCTATTTGTTCAATCGACAAATATTAATTGAAGTTCTACTGAGTTGCAAGGAGGATTCCAAGGTGTATAAAACATGAGACATGAAGCTATTATTTCAGATATCTTGGTGCTTATTCTCCCATCTGAAAAAAAAAGATAAATTAGGAAGGGAGAATGCAAAGATGGGAGCAATAAAGATAATGCACTGGCACCATAAGTATAATATTTTTATAATATTTTATGGGTGTAGAATTTGATTTGCAGGATACTGTTGGTTAAAGGTGATATGGAATGTTTTGCTGACACACATAATTTTCTCCTTCCTACATGCTGTTCGACCTGGGCAAGTTTCATAGGTTTCTTTTTGGCATTTTAAACCCAAATATCTAGAGCCTTTTCCATTACCTGCCAGACCTGAGAAGTTGCTGCACCACAGAAGCAGAAGCAGATGCTGCTCGGTCCATATAGACATTGGTCAGAGCCAGATGTGTTCACCCAGCTCTCTTGAATCTTCATGTTTCATGGCAGCTCTTTTCTGAAAAGAAGCCCAGGAAAAACAATACTCCAGAGTCAGACTTTCCAGATGCTTCTGGGTGTTCCTGGCTGTGTATGTAAGTTTATATGTACGGGAACTCAGAGCGCCTTGAGCAAGCTCAACATTATTGCCACGTTTCAGCTGAAGAGTGAAGCCGTTGCTGAACACAGACGATGTCAGGCACAAGTAAGCATACATTTGGCCCTGATTGATTTCAACAGGCTGGAAGTGAAAATTATCTTAAAGGCAGAGTTACTTTAAATCTAATGCAAAAAATCACATGTTCCTCTCTGTCTTCCCCCAACCAGCTGCATCTGGCCCTTAGATTTGTTTGGTTTGGCTTTCACAGTATTTAAACAACAGCAACAACCAAAAATTGGATTTGTGGATGTGGGAGATTTCATGTAAAAATCTGAGTTTCTGGCATCTGGGCGATCTGGCAGGCCTAGGTGCCATTCCAATGTGGCTGGATACAGCCCTGCTCAGATGAGTCATGGGCTTGCCAGGACGCTGACCCTAACTGACCGCCTTCACTCACTTATTTTACCTTCCTGGCACAGAGTTTGCCTTTGCCCTTGTCAGATGGAAAGGAGGATCAGTGGCACAGAAATATTTTTATAAAGAAAACAACTCTTATTATTAAATGCTACTGTGCTATTTTCGGTATTTGTATATCACCTTGTATTTTTTATAGTATCTTCCCCTCAAGGAACTCAAAAGATCTTGCTAAAGTTCAAGGGCAAAAAAGCCATGACCCCTCTTGTCTGGGTGGACTAGTGTCCTAAAGATCTGCAGAATCTGGGGAAGTGCCTGATGAGAAGCATGTGCCTAAAAGGGCATTCTGCCCGAGACAAGGTTCTCTCAAGGGCCCTGTGATGGGTACTGAGCAGCTGAGTCAAGTAAGGATGGGCAGAGGATCCAGTGGGAGCAGAAATGTCCCATTCAGCCTACAGAGGTTTGTTTAGGGATCTGGCCACCTGCATGCACTGGGCAGGTCTAGCCCCAGAAGACCTCGCTTTGGAGATAAACTTCAGAGGATAAGTAGCAATTTACCAGATGGAGGTGGACTTTAGAGAGCACGTCAGCAGGAAGGAAATGAGCTTTAACTTAGAAACATGAAAAACAAGATTGGGTTGGTGGGTGGAATGGGGACTGAGTTTATGAGACATTTTTATCCAACCTCTGTCCCCTGTAATATGGGAGCATTCAGACCAGATACACTGTTATGCCCAGAACCCTTTCCGAGTCAGCTACTCAAAGAGTGGTTCATGGACCAGTAGCATCAGCACTTATTGGAAGCTTGTTAGAAACAGAATCACAAACCTTATTCTAGACCCACTGAGTCAGATGCCCAGTAAATAATATAATTACTATTACTTTTTTTTTTTAAGAACTAAGTCATTCTTTTTCTAAAAAAATTGAGTCTTGGTTTGCTCATTATTATTATTATTTTTTTAAATCATGTAGATAGTAGTTATAATAAAGACCAGGTAGAAATAGTCTCTTAAAAAAATAGAGCCCACTCTTGCCCTTTGGACTCAAACACTAATAAAACAAATTATTGAGTTATTTATTACATTCATGAGTTACTTAAATTCCAGTTTATGGCAGGAAGCTATGTATAAATACTCTCATTTTTTATTTAATGAGTAATGAAGATGATAAATTAATGGCTTTGTAAGATAAAGATATCATTATTGAATGGGTACTGTGTGTGTAACTCTTTACATACTTCACTTGTTTTCCATACTTCAACCAGCCTTAATTTATAAATGAAGAATTAAAGGTTATAGACATTAAGTTGCTTACGTAAGATCATGCAGTTATTGCTTTGTAGTTAATATCTAAACACACACTTGAGTCTGAATCCCACATTATTTGCCTTTCCCTACAAGTACTCCTAATGAACTTTAGATTTTTTAAACTCTTCTGTGACCTGGCCAGTTGTTGTTGTTTTTTCCTTTTGATCTTGATTGTCAAAATGGAAAGGTCCTGTTCTACCTGATTTCATCTTTTCTACTTAAAGAAAACAATTTTTAAAAATACTGATTGTACTTTCAGTGAAAATGGTAGTGAGAATTATTCTTACATTATTTCTTTTCTTTTTTTCTTTTCTTCTTTTTTCGATTCTTTGTCCTTCCTTCTTCCCTCCCTTCCTTTGTTTTAATAACACTTAGTTGCTTGATTTTACTCACCAGAATCAAGTTAGACTAAAACACATATACTATTTTAAGAGAAAAAAAGAAGCCTAGTTTCATAGCTCCAATAAAGCCTGCAGGCATCTCAAAACAATATGCATTACAACTTCAAAGAAGAAAGATATTGAGTGGTGAGAATTTAAACATATCACAGGGACTTTCAGGTGGCTACTTTACGATGTGAAACACACTTTTAACTTAAAAAGCAAGATTTTTATAACCTAAGCTGTCTCTTTATGCATTCATAAAACCATGGAAATTTTATGGAAAAATAAATCTTTCCTTTAGAAAAGAACTTAGAAATTTAAAAACTATAAGTTGACATTTGTTTCCCAGAGCTGATACTGAAACAGTAAACAGGAATGAAATTGCTGGATGACATTAGAGAAGCAATAATGGTAACTTTCTGAGGTCAGCCTGCTGGAAATAGGAAGTAGACACTTCTGCAATTGAACTGACAACTGAAACAACTCAGGAATCCCAGGTTTGCTTAACTAGACCAGTCTGGCTGCTAACAGAGCTTCCTAACAAGTAGGCCGTGGAGCAATGGAGACCAACAGACAAGATGCCAAAGCCACCAGCAAGGCCTGCCATTGGACCCCTGAAGACCTCGCCGTGAGTGCTGGTATTATCACTGAAACTGTACACAGCAGTGCCAAGACCTATGTGATCATTATCATATACGTATCTCATTCTGCTCCCCTGAGATTATTTTATTAACGAGTGATTGAAAAAAATATAGGACGGTGGTTAAAAACAAAATATTTGGAGTAGTTTGAGGGTTGAACTCCAGCTCTGTCATGTATTATTGTGGACATTTTGTGTTTTTTGCCAGCCCAGCATCCCCTCCTCCATCTTCTGAAAATACCACCTTCTTTTTCCCTTAAGGAACTTCTCTTCCCCTATTTTGTGTTAATAATCAAAATCCCTGCTTTTCCCCTACAAAATAGGAAGGCATGTGATCCAAGATGGGCCAAATAAATTCATTCTTCCAGAAGTTCAAACTGTGAGCCATACCAACAGCAACTGACCAGAGTTGATCATCTCTACGGTGTTTTCCTGAAGAAACTGGCCCATTAGTTCCTGCTACTTAGATGCTTGGAATTGTTTTTATTTCTTATTCTTCCAATGATCCAGTTGTTCACTCTTGATTCTGTGAGCTTCTGCATACCCTTCCAATAAGTTTCAGTTCTACTTGGGTTAACCAGAATCTCTTGTCCTCGTTTGTCACTCGAATATGCTAAATAAAGTAAATCATAACTCTAACCTTCACAGACTTCAGCAAATGTAAAATATCTGGTTTAACCTAACAGCTTTATAATAATGACTTCAAAATACTTGACAGTTAAAAAATATTATTTTGGTAACTGTGAAATACTACGTATTTAATATTTCTAAGAAGTTATATGTAAAATTTGAAAATAAGGCCTACTTTCCAGATTTGTGAGAATTAAATGAGAACATGTCTAGAAGATGTCTAGCACAGTGCCCCCGAGAGTAAGCAATCAATTCTATTGGTCCTTACCACTCTAGGGTCTATAAACTTGAACATCTTAGTCCCAGGCAAGTTCAAACATTAAATGAGCTATGCTAATAGTTTGTCATTTAGCAACTTCTCTGAGTTTTTGGCAATGCAGGAATGACTGCTGGATAGTTTTATTTACACTAAAAAACTGGTAATTTGAACATTTTAGTGGGGCACTAATCAAATTGGCATTCAGTTAAAAAATGGATTTAACCCACCAAAAAAAAAAAAGGAACTTGTTTGAATAAGAGCATTTAAACAAGATTTTCACTTTGTAAATGAGTAGTTTTGAATTTCCCCAGAAATTTCTGGTATTTCATTCTAAATTATGAAGTAATCTAGTGGATAACATTTTTAGATTTATGTCAACCTAGCAAATGATTTATTTAGTCTTTACTGTACATATATTTTTAACATGGATGTACACATGGACACACAACAAAGCTACTCGAATTGCTCTTAACCTTTTGTAGAATATAGATGTGCAGAAAATTTTTAAAAATCTGAGATGTCCTCAGCCAATTGTTCTAATTGATTCACGTGCCTGAAGGTTTAGAGGTTTGTACAGCATTGGTCCCACTCTAGTCGGCATTTGGCATAAACACTCTTTAGGTAAAGCTTCTTTTGTTGAAACTAACATTTAAGAGTGTCAGGTCATTTGTCTCTGCTTCCTCAGCTTTTAAAATTTTACCCAATGTGTGAAAGTACATGGTGGTCTGTTTTCCCAAGAGCCTTCTGAATGAGCTAATACTACAAAAGTCATTTAGCCTGCTCTCATGAGGCAGTCCAATTTTGTTAGCAGAATGAGAGGAGGAAGGTATTGTGAAAGGTACTTGTCCAACAACCATTTTCTTTTTACAAGCCAACAGAATTATGATTTCGTGCAGATTCCTAAATCTCAAGGCAGGTGGTGATCTCCAGGGCATCACGTCTCATAAGTCTTAGCCAGTCATGGTAATTTGGTTCCCCATTTGCCAGTATTTGGTCTAATGTTCAATATATAACCAACTTCCAGCAGAAAAGACGTAAGGGAATCTGTTGGGGGGGGGGGGGGGGTGGGTGAAGGGATTCTAGAACAGATTTTCTTCCTGGTTAAAAATATAGAGATTTGTGAGAAGGGCCTTTGACTCTCTAAACTAGCTGTGGGCAAACTACGGCCCGCGGGCCGGATCCGGCCCGTTTGAAATGAATAAAACTAAAAAAAAAAAAGACCGTACCCTTTTATGTAATGATGTTTACTTTGAATTTATATTAGTTCACACAAACACTCCATCCATGCTTTTGTTCCGGCCCTCCGGTCCAGTTTAAGAACCCATTGTGGCCCTCGAGTCAAAAAGTTTGCCCACCCCTGCGTCTAAACCTTTCTTCTTCTCCTTCTTCTTCTTCTTCTTCTTCTTCTTCTTCTTCTTCTTCTTCTTCTTCTTCTTCTTCTTCTTCTTCTTCTTCTTCTTCTTCTCCTCCTCCTCCTCCTCCTCCTCCTCCTCCTCCTCCTCCTCCTCCTTCTTTTTCTTCTTCTCCTTCAATTTTTTATTGATTTAAGAGAGGAAGGGAGGAGAGGTAGAAACGACAATGATGAGAGAATCATTGATCAGCTGCCTCTTGCACACCCACTACTGGGGATTGAGACAGCACGCTGGGTGTGCTCTGAGCAGGAATTGAACTGTGACCCCCTGGTTCATATGTTGACGCTCAACAATGGAACCACACTGCTAGGGCTACACCTTTCTTCTTGTCTTGAAAGTAGCTAAGTGAGAACAACTTGCTTATATCTATATCACCTATTCTGTAACCACAAAGTCACAAGATGATTGAATAAAAAGCCGATGTACTAAAGATGGCAGAGTTGAAATATAAAAAGAGCCTGAATCCTAGGGGTCACTTTTAGCTACTGCCCTCAAAATGGAACCACAACTGCCTTCCTATGGCCAATTTGTTAGCTGAGGGAATTAAATGTCTTCATTAATTTCTGTTACTTGCTACTGAAAGCATTCCTAAGGGCATTAACACTTATACAACTTCTCTAAACTCCTTAATTTTAAATACTTTAAGTCACCAGACAAAAGGATTATTGTCTAACAATAAGGTGAAGAGAGGCGAGAAAGCCCTATAAATATAATCTTTTAAAAATGAGCTTGAAATTCTACTTAGTGTTTACTGCCAGATATCAGAGGGCTGTTTGTATTTGCTGGAACTGTCAGAGTAAATTCCTGCTAATACAGCAAGCTGGGATGGCAGAAGGAATTTTACAAGGGCCTGTGATATGCCCTGTGATGAAAACACTCAAAATTCCTCTTAGAATTTTAGAAACAGGATAAATCAGTTACTGTTAACTTGGAACTAAAATCATTTTTCAGTATCTGCACTTTAGGAGTGGGGCATTTGTTTGCATAGGAAGTGGTACAACTTTGAAAATACATTGGATATTAAAGAATAAAAATAATTGAGAAAGATTTTATTATTATAGAGGGAACTATAGTCTCTTGAATCATGTGGCCTTTTTTCCACAGATAGAGAATTATAGAAACTGTGACCATAAAGAATGCTGTACTATTGAGATGTCCTGCAGGCTTTCCATACTAGGAAGATTTCCTGAATGCATAATATCCATGTGAAGAAGTTTCTGAGGGGGAGCATGCTTTGTCAGTTAGCACAATGACTTTCATTTTTTTTTGTTCACTATGACTCACAGAAATAGATCAACATGTCTTGTATAAGTGAACATGTGTAGGTGTACACACATGATTAAAAGTTTCATATTAAGATACTTATTTTTTATTATATGATGCTCTCATATGTTCTATTCTAATCTTTCTGGGTTTTTTTGCCTTTATTTTTAATGTGTTGGTTTTAACCTATTAAACTGGTTTCACAACCAACTAATGGGTTATCACTTGTAGTTTGAAAAAGCAGTGAGTCAAGATAGTTTCTGCTGCAGGTTACAGCTCCTATTGGAACTGGAACCAAAGTTTGGCTACCTGCTGCCATGAAAGCCAAACTCATGAGACAGATGCTGGTGAAGAAGGAAAGTGGCTTATTAAAGTGCCAGACACCTGAGGAGATGGGGGACTCTTGTGACAAAGTCCTTCTCAGCATCTCAGTGCAAGCAGACATTTTTATAAGGAGGTGGAGGGAAAGCAGAACAAAGAAATAAAGGGGAAGGGGTGGAAAAGTTCTCCACATGCAGACCAGCACAGCCCATTCTGATAAGGACCTCAAAACTGGTCAAGTGATGGTCTATTGTGCATCATCCTGGTCTTATCCTGGTTCTATGTCATCCTGGTTATACAGTTGAAGTTCAGCAAATCTCCCAGAACTGGGATGACTGAAGGTCAGAGTCTGTACCTTCTGAAGTTAGTTCCTAGGATTCTTATACAAACATTCCATTTGTCTACAAGTTACATATTAGTCAGAGTCACTATTTACAGAAACAATGTCAATGGAATAGGGTAGGCTACTATTCCCCACTGTTACACTATGAATTAAACTGGCTTGTCCTACATGGAAACTTGTTGTCTTACAGAGCAGAAAGTCCAGTGATAGGGCAGACTCCATGGTTGCTTATCATGTCACCTAGATACTGTGTCTGTCTTCTGACTTCTATGGTAATAGTTTCAATCTTAGGCTGCCTTCTCTTGTAGCTTGTCATAGAGGCCAGTGTATTGAATGTCATCAGTTATTCCTTCAGACCCACCCTCTACCCTTTTGTATCTACTCTGTGCCCGATGAGGCCCACAGCATGAATTACATGAGTATGCTCCCTCATCTGCTGGCTTTTGCCTGGATCTAGGCAATGGGGAGCCCCTGAGGGAAACTGAGCAGAGAGAAGAGAAGAAAGCTGGCTCCCTCCCTGTGAGGACAAGTTGTGCTGACAATGTTCCTTAATGAAAGTTCACTGCTCTTCTCAAGGTGGCCCTATCTCCATCATACTCTCTAGGTTCTAGGAACTCTGGTCCATGTGCTTTTGAGCACAGGAGTGATGAGAGTGCTGCTACAATTCATCCTGGGGTGGAATCATATTTATAGATAGACCTTGTCACCTTTTCTGATTTTTCTTTAGTTACTGATAGGAAGATGCCAAGTAGACCAGAGAGTAGAAAGAACAACTGATTCTGTGGCCACACAGTAGTTGATTTAGCCAAAGTATCCTGGATCAAAAGGCACTGAAACAGCTCGCTCTGTGCTGTGTCCTGCTTCAGCCTCTAGAAATTCTCTGGATGATGACAAAGGGTTGAGCTATTCCTTCTGGGGCTTCGTGTTTAGTTCAGATGGAATCCACTGAGACCCGGATCTCTGCGGTTAGGCTGACAGTGGTTGCTCTCCCGTGTTGGTTCATCAACCAACATCTTCCCGAGGCTTCTCCAAGCTTAGCCATTGCTGTTCTGTATTCACCACTCCTCCACAGAGGAAGTTATTTCCCTAGCCATTGTCATTTCCCCTTGTGCTTCACTTCTCCCCATCCATCCTCCTCCCAAGGAATATTTTCACCTGTCTTCTTAGAAAGCTTTTACTTGTGTGAGTAGATGACAATAAATTCTGGGACTGTTACTCAGTCCTGCAGGTTTTTTGTAACTTAACGAAGCAAGTAAAGGTTTATAGCAATTGTTTGTATTCCCACAGCGTATAAAGGCATTTCTCTGGCCCCTAAAATTGGGTAATGCAGGTGGAGTATTTCAGGCACA